TATTTGTGAACTGAATCAAAATTGTATTGTGACATATTTTGTAAAACTGGAAAACAAGCAAATGGATGTATCATAGGATAAAGCAGGGGATTTACAGCCATAGAGAAATTAATGCAGTAGATTTTTAATAAACATGTTTAACTCCTTAACTGTCACCTTCAAAACTCTTACATGTAAGTGAATGTGTTCACGAGGACGCAGGCTTCTTCATGAGAGTTAAGGGTTCAAACCTGTTTACAGTATTGAATGTTCTCAGCTCCAGGTTGAGTGGTTTTGCAGGATATTTTATTTATTTAACAAGGACGATGAAGACAACCATAGCAACAGAGAAGCGTCTACATCTGATGTGTTTAGAGCTAAAGTAATTTAGTCCCTGGTTTGGCTTTCACACATACACATATTCACACAGATGTAAAAATATATTTACATGTATATTCAACCACTCCAACACACACACACATATCCAAAGCTCCCTTTTAGTCACTCACACACCATCACATCTCGGTAACACATGGACAACAATGAATCGTATAGCTGCGGTCCTCCATAACTGGTGACCTGCAAGTTTGACCTGCAGGACACCTGAATCCTCAGTCAAGTTCTCCAGAGTCCTGCTAATGACCTGATTATTAGACTCAGGTGTGCTGAAGCAGAGCCACATCTCAAAGTTGCAGGACACCTGGATTCGAGGGCCCCTGTTGTACACAGTTATCCTGATGAAGTTCCTAAAAAACTAAACTAACAAAAGAAGTGTTGCCTTCAGCCGGTTAATATCATAAAATAATATTGATCTTCAGAGTTATTCTGTTGTTAAGATGGAGGTGTTCTCCTACCTCAGGTTACATCATACGTCTCACTGTTTTTGCTGCATTTCACCCACTTAAAAATTAAGGCCTGGTTGAAAGTTCCAGGTGTTTTTGTTGCGGTTGTTTAGTTTTGCATGTTTGGCCTTGTGCATTATTTTTTCGTGTATGGGTGCATCCCATATGTTGTAGCGCATGCAGGGCATGAACAAGTGCGTGCTTGTGTGTTGCAGGCGATGCTTACTTCCTGAGGCTAATCACCACCTTCTTCCCGGCGTCTTGTTTTTTCCCATCTCTCTGCGCCTGTGTGGAAGTTGTGTGGGCACCCTCTGGATTGCCTCACTGCCGAAGCATGCCGGACCCTGTTATCCAGCTATCCATCTGTGTTATTGATTTTTTTTTTTTTTTTTTTTCCCCCACCCCTCTTTGTAGAGTTTCATCTTTCCTTCACTTTTCCAAGGAGCGATGGAGAGAGCGAGGAGGGGCCGGCGAGGGGGCAGAACAGAGATCTGAGAGCTTGTAGAAGAGAAGGTGGGGGGTGGATGGAGGAACAGAGCAGCGGTGGGGCTTGTGAGTGAAGGGGGTGTGAGAGGTTGGGATGGGGGGCATTCTCGGTCCGGACTATGGATGAGCAGAAAGAGAGCCACACTTGAAGTGCTGCTTTTCTCTCTCGCTCTCTTTTCGTTTCTGTCCATTCTCATGGGAGCATCCTCCCTCCCTCCGCCCCTGCCCCACTCCTCCACCTTCCCTCTTTCCTCCTCCATACTGCTCCAAAGCGCCTCTGGTACACACGCTCCACTTGCCTTTCCTCCTCCTCCCCCCCTCCTGTCTCTCGCTCTGTCCGCCTGCCTGCCGTCTCTGCTTCCCGGGGGGCCCGGCCAGTGCTGGCGGCGCAGCCGTGATTTGCAGGAGATTTGTCTAAGTGAGAAGCAATTAGTGAGCCTAAGCACCACTAATGTATGCATGCTGGGGCCGCCGTCGCCTCTCCTGCTCTACAGTCCCAGGACCAGGCCGATCTCAGGCATCGTCCCCTTTCCCTGTCCAGGTTTCATCCAGATCTGTCTCGTCACTCCCACCGCCCTCGCCTGTCCCAGTCCTCTTTGATCTACAGCCATTACACTCACCTGACCAAAGGTTCTGAGGTTTGCATTAACATTTACTCCTTTCTTTTACTCCAAGTTCTGAAAAGTATTCACAAGCAAAAGTTGTGTGTCTTGTAAACTTGAGTAAGGCTCATTAAAGTGACTTCTGTCCCTCATATCCTCCCACCTGAGTTTCCGCAGCAGATCTGAAGGAGGCTTAAGTAAACCTGTAAATTTAGGTTTGTTAATGAGAGTGAGGAGGCAGTATGATTTATGTGCAGCAATTCATCCACACACACCAGCGTACAGCCTCAAATGAACGCCCGAACACATACGTACAGTGAAGTGGAACAGTTGTGGGTGGCAGGATTCCCTAGTTGTTTGCAAGCGAGCATGCATGAGGGATGTTCTGCTCAGCACGGCTCCCCAACTACTTGAAGATGAACTTTGCCCTTTTCTACGCGTTCACTCTCCCTCACCCAGACAAAAACAAGATTAAGTCTGCTCATCCTTGCGCTGCGCCGACTGCCTTCCAAGTGGGAGCCTACGCCGGCCGTGGGTGGTTTTGAAGCAGAGTGCTCGTTAATTAAAGATAGGCTAATTACTGGCGCTTCGCAGCCTGGCTTTCGCAGGGCTGATAAGAGGATAATCCTGGAGAGAGAGAGAAAAAAGCAGCGATCGAAGTGGTCCCGGGTAGACCAGGCCTCCTGCTTGACTGGGCCGGAAGAAAATATAGCCCCCCCACCCCCATCCTCGCTGTGCTCCTTTAAAGAGCGGGGCCTGCAATCAGGTTATAGAATATTCAGGCAGGCTGCGCTTCAGTTGGAGGAAACCTACATAAAAGGCTCAGAGACACCAGTCATCACTTGTTAGATTCATGGTTTCTGTTTTTGTTCATTTCCATCCACCACTTTGGCTGAAATGGGCTTTAAAAAGCTGATGTACTGTAGCGCGACACTTCACTCTACTGACATTGCTTAGTAGCTTGCCTGTGCTTGAAAGTTTCATTAGTCATACATGTTCATACCTCTGTCATGTGTGGTATACACACACACACGTGTCATTTCCTGGTGTTACGGTGGACAAAGAGTGTGAAGGCTGTAAATGTAAGCCTCACATTTCCATCACATTGTTCCTGGTTTGCAGATCTTTTTATGACATCCCGGCTTAACAAAGGTTTCCTGTTTGTATGTAGATTTATCTATTGCTGCACACTGCTAGTCAGCTGGTTGAAAGATTACTAACATGCTATTCCCTCAAAAAAGGGCAAATGTATCTGTTTCAAAGAATCTTTGATCATGAAAAATAGGCAGTGGAAACTAAAGGATCCTCGTGAATCAGTCTTGTTAAACCCTCTTCACATAGATTTTTAAAAAGCACTTTTCAACGTGGACATTTTTAAAAACCTCTTTTTGAAACACATGGCTGTTGTTTTGATACCCAGAAGTTATTAAAAACAATGACTAGGAAGCAACCGTTGCACATGCAAACCCTGACACTCTGTGTTGGAACCCACAGAAACACTGGATCAGTTTTTAATTAGCTAATTTTTTGCACATCTGCCTCACATTGTCCTGATTCTGTTTCTATTAAACTTCACATGTAAGCTAAAGAAGTCAATGACTGCGAACGATGAATACTGTGACAGAAAACACAATTATGAGACACTTTTAATTGCTGGCTCTGTATAGTTACTACTAGTGCTTTTAAAATAAACAGGTAGGTGTTTTGAGACTGCTAAGCTGTTAACCAGAAGATATCAACTTGTTATTCTTGTAATACTCTCTATAAAGCACAAACAAGTTTTACCCATAATCATTTAAAAACTACAAAACTGAGGACTTTATTCGATATTTCTGCTTAAATCTGCGCATCAGAATCAACTCATTGGTATTTTGACTGAAGCAACATGCTAGGTGCATTAGCAGTGGCGGTTTCAGATAAACATGCCACCCTGAGCATTAGGCACTAGCAGAAGGCCGTCTTTTGCTATCACACAGCTTCTTCCTGAATGAGTTTTTGTCTTATTTGCATGATTGGTTGGGGTGGGGTCATTGTGTTGTACCGGTTCTTGCCCAGGGCGACATTCATGCCAGAACTACCACTGAGCATCAGTCAGGGTAATTTTTGATGTTGTAGATAAAAGCTGTTTGCTGTTTTAGATCATACCAGACTTGTTTTTTTTTTTTTCTTGTCAACATTTCTACTCAACATTTTCGTCCATAGGCATCTCATACCGCCCCACGGCTGGGAGCAAAGTGAAAGTCTTAAGATTGCCTGTTTCTTGTCAAAAAGTACAACCTCTCTCTGCTCTATAGCCTGAGTACGAACAAGCACAGCCACAAACAAAAACAGACACATTAATAATCACATTTACATTCCACCTCACACCCAAATGACTGGAAGGTTTCATGACCTAACTATCATTCATGCGTCTCTAACCCATATTTTGTCTCTGGGAGTTAGCCATTAGCACTTGCTGGGCTGTTCCCATATGCTGGGCCCTCTACAGATCTATAATTCAGAGGTGGCAGATGTCTCTATGCATAATTCATGAGTGCCGTTCCATGCCGGGCTAGGAAGCAAGCGAGCTAGCTGTAGAACCATCACAAGGTCCTCTCCTATAGAAGATCTGCTGCATGTTGACCTGTGGGTCTTGCTTCCCTGCAGCTTTTCTAACAAGCGGGCTACAGCAAGCTGCTCAGATATGGATAAAGTATTCTTTGTTTAGACGAATAAACCTAAAAGCAAACTTATATTCACTGCTGCACACAGTAGCACCACATGTTTGCTTGTTTGGGTTAAAAATTCCCTGCAACACGGTATATTAATTTGAGGTTTGAAGCTGAGGTTCATGTGTTCAAGGGACTGTATTGGTAATCACACCTACACACCTGCAGAGACATTAGCAGTCTGTGCCGATACAAAGAGTGGGAGATAAAAACACACACCGGCACCCAAGATCACAAGCTGCCGCCAGCGCCAAGCCTGGCCGGCGCTGAACCGGCAACCCGATATGTCCTCCGGAGCCTGCGGAGGGGGAGAGAGGGTGTGGGAGAGAAGCTTCCACAAAGTCTGGTCGGGCCGTAACCTGAGATCCGGGCAGACAGCCGCGGTGCCTTGCAGTCAGGCACGGAGGAGAAAGAGTGTGTGTGTGTGTGTTTGTGTGTGTGTGTGTGTTTCATATGGGATTGGTGACATGCTGCCACATGTTTGCTACCACACTTGGGACTGGGTTTATATACACGTAACGATTAAAAACGCTCTCCAAGACGAGCATCTAGAGTCTGTCCTCATCTCGCCCTGAAATCCGTTTTAATACCTTGCTTTGGTAATTTAAGTAGCACTTTCTCACTCTGAAATGAATAATTATGAGACGGAGTAACCTATGTCATTTACTTACTGCGCCTTTCTCTCGTCAGGGCTTCATCTCTTCCCTCTTCACCATCATAAGCTTCCAGTGCGACCGTCATCCAAAACATCCGAGCAGAAAGCTGCTGTCAGCTGCCATATTGCTCGCTGCTCCTGCCAGAATGCTGCCCTTTGCAGATGTAATTTGCACTGTGTGTGGTTTGGAGCAAATTTTTTTTTTTTTTTTGGAGAAGATGGCTTAGGGGTGACGTGCTTTTCTTTGGACTGGCGGAGGGACAGGAGCCCTTCGTGCGGTTGCAGTGGGCGAGGAGGTTAACTGAGCCACAGCAGAGCCAAGATGCTGCCTGGGATATTGACAGGTTGGAACCTGAGGGCTCCTGCAGGATAGGAACACACTGCCAGAGGCTTGGTTACCACCACCGCCTGCCTGCCTTGGAGGGAGGGAGGAGTGTGAGCAGGAGAGAAGGATGAAGGGAGGGTGATTTGGAAACAGTGAGGAAAGGCTAGAATCTGGGATTTCTCAGACCAGAAAATGTTATATGAAGGGCATGGCTGTCAAACTCTGTTTCAGGATTGAAAAAGGAACTTCTTACATTAATAAATAAGCAAAAAACAAAAAAACAAAAGAAAGTTGCATGTAAATGTACCCACGTTACATGTTTGATGTTAATAGGCATCCAGCTTGTCGTCTAAGACAATAATATAAATATAATTAATCAAGTTAAAACAGATGACTCCGATGCAGACCGCTCTGATTCTCAAAAACACATCGCTTTACATTTTATAAGAAGTAAAGAAAGAATCAAGACTGACCCTGCAGAGGAGCAGAAGCTACACCATACAGCAACTAAGAATAATTTCTGTACTTTTAAAAATAATATCAAAGTTAATTTCCTTAAATTATTGCAGTGATGGAAACTATAAAAACATTTAAAATTTAACAATAGGGCTTGTATTAGACCAACATGTCAAATTAATTAATTTAATTTAATACTTTGGTTTGTAATGTGGGTTTGAACAGACCTTATTTATGTGAATGTTGAATTTAACTTTTGAATTTAAACACAAAACTAAATCTTTATATGGTGAGACAAATGGAAGTCATTCATCCACTGGAAAAAAAAAATAATCAGTGCACAGTTAATTTTAGAGAATAACATTTTAGCAATCTTTACTGAAACACCTGCTCGCAACTTATGTGGTTTTCTCAAAAATAACAGCATCATCGACATTTACTAATATACATTAAAGGTAGATTATCATTCACACTGAAAAAACTGGACCCAGCACAGAACCGTGTGGAACACCAGCTGATTAATGAGAGGAATAGAAGTTACAATTTCAGTTTGGGCAGAAGACAAAAGGAGAGATTTGGAAAATAGACAAACTATAAAAGAGTTAAAACCAGATCAGTGTTCCAGGAGAGTATTGGGGTTAAATAGGTCAAATATTCGTAAGTCAAGGAAGACAGTCTAGATGACCCCAACTTTAACCTTTAACCCTCAACCTGTTCCTCAGAAGTAATATATACCCGTCCCTGCACTTTATGCAGAAATTTAACATGTTTTAAAATGACTGACATTTTTCTAATTCTTTTGACATTATTTGCAAGACACTAATTGATCTGTTAGAAGTTAAACTATCCTTTGACATAAAGGACACAGCAATTTTTTTTTTTGGTGAATTAAGTTAATCCTTGGCACAGTTCAGTGTTATTAATGTATGTTAAAGCACAAATAAACATCTTTGGTCCTAGAAAGTTTAAGCAGTGCAACAATTTCAGCTTCTTAAGCTTCATAGAAAAAAAAAAATTTCTGCAACTTGTCTTGCTCATCTAAATGAGGTTTCACATATTATACCAATCAAACCTACATGAATGTTTGATTACGGTGGGAAAAATTACTACAAGTCTCGTAAAACAAAACAGCTAAGGTAACATTTCTGAATAGTCACCAAACTGTATTGGAAAAAACAATGAAAACTGTGTGCGAAGCATTTTTTTGTAGTTCCAGCATCTTTGCAGAGCTGCTTTCGCTCAGAAATGAGCTGAGTGTATGGTCTGTGCGGTTCAGGGTCATTCGCCATGGAAACGGTGGGGCAGGTCAGAAGGTGGTTGGATTAGCTGAGGAGGGCGCTGGCGGCTGTTTGTTGATTCTCTGATAGGGGTGACCTACCCCTAACCTCCACACAGATCAATACGGCCTCCTTAAACTTTCATTTGGCCTCGTTTTGCTCGCATTCACCTCCAATTGGATTCAATTAAAGGGCTACTTTTTCTTTTGAAGAAAACATGTTCAAATGTAATTTGGACGTAGCCGTTTCCTCTTGATTTACGGTGTCTCTGCATAATGTCTTTGGTAAATTTAGAAAGAAATGAGTCTGACTTGTGTTTTTTTTGTTTTGTATTAAAAAAAAAAAAAAGAGGGTAAAAGTGAGGTCAGCAAATTTCCAGTCTTGCTACGATTTCAGAGAAATTGTTTACAGAGAATTTGTGCAGGTGCAGGGAGTCCCTCCAACGCAGGAAAGCCTTTGAGAAGCTCCTTCCTGTCTCTTTACCTCCCCCACATCCCCCTCAATGCACTTTTGTTTCTTCCTCTCTCCCCCTCGTTCTCACTTTCACTACTCGTAATCCCCGATGTCGCGTACAAGGTTACTATGTTATATTACAGGGAAGCATTTCTGAGTGGGCGCTTGTTTCTTTTTTTTTTTTTTTTCGCTGCATCTCTGATATCTATCTCTCCATTCTGGGGTCACCCTTTTCCACTCCCCCACACAGGGAATCACCTCACCAAGAGGCGTTTTGACTAAATCGGTGGTTGCACTGAAACATCCGACTTCCAAAGAATGGGTGACAAAAGAGGCCGTACCAAGAGTTCCCAAATGCAACACTTTCAAAGTCTTAAAGAATTTCTATCCCTGAAAGTTTTCACTTTTTGTCGCATTACCTTTAAACCAAGGCTAAAGCGGAGAAGTTCTAACCAGGTTTAGGTTATAAAACGCCATCAAAGTCTGAAGACAAATTCTGACTTTTATTCCAAAGTGATATTCAAACCCGTCTAAAAATCTCAGTAAGTGACATCTTATAAAATGACAAAATGTGTGAAGTTTAGGGGTGTGATTGCTTGCGTGTGTCAGAATCTCTTTACTGTCTTATCACAGTAACTAACAGGCGACTGCCTCGTGTGGCTCGGGTAACAGATGTGAGCAGCGCCGCTTTATGTGCAGCTGTTACCTTTCATGGCAATACAATTGCCGCCTATTACACTTAAAAGCCAATGAGAATCAGTCAATCTACTGATTATCGCTGCCTTTATTGATGTGCGATGGTATCAGAGCAGCACAGATTATTTAATGAAACTCTCACTTTCAGTTTTACGAACTGAATTTCAGTGAAACGTCTTTCATCTGCACCTGACTGCGTTACAGGGCGAGGTACAGCCACAGCCCCGTTGTGTTTGTTTGAATACAAACAGCGGATGATCAACTGCGTATTCGGGTGTGTTAGGAGTTAAAGTATATCTTCTCGACGGAGCAGAGCTGTCATGGCCTTGGGAGGGCTGTGTCGCACCCGTGGCTGCGTGGAGCAGCAGCAGCACAGGAAACGCGTCAAAGCGCAGAGAGCTAACTGGAACCAGATGTCTGAGGCTACCGGCCGGGGGATTCTCATTGTGGAACAAGAGCGTCAGCGGGGGAAGTTCACTTCCCCTGACTGTCTCTCTGTCTTGGCTTTGCATCTGTTTTTTTTTTTTCTTTTTTCTTCATTGTTTTTTTCTCTCTCTATCTCTCTTTGGCTTGGTTTCGTATATTTTGCTAGCAAACTACAATACTGCGCAGGCAGAAAAGGGAAACCCTTGATAATCTGCACAGAGAAATTGGCGCAACTGAGCCAAAAATTATTCATACCTATTTTACACTTCCAATTAAAATCATGTTTTTTCAACCGGGAAGTTTGTTTCAAATGATAAAACATGAGTAAAATGTCAATTTTGGACAAAAATAACTATTTTAAATGTATTAAAATTCATGAAAAAAAATATTTTAACCCTTCTAATAATCGATACACATATCTGTTTTAGCATTATAGCGATCTAGGCCTTCTTAAACATTGCTGAGCGAGTGTTTCCACCAGTATTTGGGTTATTTATATTTGGTGAGAAGCTCTAAGTCTTTGAGTTTAGACAGGTTTAAGACAGGACTTTGACTGGGCCACTCTAAAAAGTTACTTTAAACTATAAGAAAAGTGCTGAAAACCTAAAAAAAAAAAAATACTTTACAACTAAATCTACCAGGAGTCTGAATAATTTTGAGCATGACTGTGCAATTATGTTCCTTGAATTTTTTCAACTGCTTTAGAGTGCGTCTTACTGGAATTTTATGAGATAAACCAGCAAAACTTGGTGGATATGTGTGAGGCGTAAACAAAATATTTTACATTTTTTCACATATAAAATGTGGAAAGTGTGGCTCATTCAACCCTGCTGCGTCAATAACTGGTAGAAGCACCTTTTGTTAGTTTCCAGGAGGTGAAATGTGCTACAAAAGCAAGTTGACTGATTGATAGAGATTAAAACTCTTCTAAGGTTTTCTTCCAAGACTGCCTTTCATTCAGCATTATCCTTCTCCATGTTAACTCCGACCAGCTTACCTTTGCCAGCATGATGCTGCCTCCGACATGCGTCACCATGGAGACGGTGTGTTCAGGGTGTGGTGTTAGTTTTCTGCCACACATAGCCTTTTTTCTTGAATGCTAAAAACAACGGGTAATTGGAGGTGAAAGGTGTCTAAAATCAGCTTCCCATTAGTAATCCCCCTTTTTCCTTTCACTCTTTCATTAAACTTTCTGTTTTAGGTGGATGGCCAAGTCTTTGCAGTCTGTTTTACATTCTCTTCCTATGTAATATTTGCATCTTAGCAGTGAAATGTTCAAAGCTTGGTTTATTTTATAACCTAATTCATCCTTAAATTCTTCAAGTTTCTCCCCGACCTGTCTGCTGTGTTGCTTGGTCCTTGTGAAGCCGTTTGTTCTTTAATGTTCTCCAACAAACATCTGAGGCCTTCACGGAACAGCTAGATTTATACCGAGATTAAATTAAAAACAGTGTGACTCTGTTTAAGACTTAGGGGAAAGCAATTAGTTGAACTGGATTTTATTTCGGGATATCACATCTAAGTAGGCTGAATATGCACACCACACTTTATTTAAAGATTCTTTTCTTGTTTGTTGAAATACATTTGACTACCATAGAATCCTTTTCCTCCCACTTTCCAATTATGCTCTGCTTTGTGTTACTCTATCATATAAAATCCCTGAAGTGGCAGAGTTTGAAAAAGGTTTGAGGGGTATAAATGCTTTTTTGTTTTAAGACTTTGTAACGATTTTTATCTCCCAGATTGTGTTGGGGTTGTTGTTTTTGTGTTAATTGAACACACCAAGTACTGAAGCTGCTCTGCTTGGTTTCCTGTCTTCATATACTGGCGTCTCTCCTCATACTGGGCGATGGAGCGGCCTCCTTTTTCTGCCTGGGAGCATTGCATGCCCTCTTCCACCCCATCCTCGATTTTTCTCTCACATACTGTACAAATGTGCATTTAGTGCGTGTACACACACACACACACACGCGCGCACAAAGTTGTTTCCGCATGCACGGTACATAAATATATATATGATCACGCGTGCACTGCTGAGGCTGCACAGTCCAGCTGAGCCTCCAGGCTGCCCAGACTCGCTGAAGCCCCGCTTGGGCCATAGCCC